GCATTATTGCCTTTCTATTATCATTGAAAATCAAATTATGTATATAATTGTTTAACATTATAGTGGCAAAGAATTACCTAAAACTCTAATATGCTTTAATAGTAGTCAAACTTTAGCACTGAAAATAGACATTCTTTTTAGTATAATCATCTTAATAAAGGATAAAAAAATATAATAATTTCCATTTGGATTGATAATGCAAATGTCTTAAGGCATCTATTCTATTGTCATTAGGTATGTTACTCTAAATGATATACTTTCTTGCTACTGAGCAAGTGTTTTAAGTCTAATAAAATTATCCACGTCATTATAATATAATTAAAACAATATATTCATCAAATTTTTGTGATCTTGCATCTATAATCACGTTTTGAAGTACAAATCACGGCAGAGTGCTTTTAAACAAAAAAAAAAAAAAATTGAAGCATTGTCCAAGAAATATAAAAAAATATTTTGACACCAAATCCATTAATTTCTATACATACCTCGTTTCCTTTTTATTCTTTGAGATTAAAGTCTTGAGGCCAATACTCATAATTTTGAAAAGAGATTAAAACCATAAGCTTATCTATAATGCATTGTGAAAATTTATAACAATACAAGTCGCTTACTCCATCTAGAGCACATAAATTATGAAAATAACATTTAGAGAATTTTAAATTAATTGTGAAACAATATGAAACTTATTTTCAAGAATTACATGGGATTTTTGTCAAATAGAATGAAGCATATTTGGTCTTAAACATTACAATTTGTACGGTAATCATATGGTCATTTACGCATACTTAAATACAATTATCAATTGTTAAGAAAAAATGCTATTTATTTCACCAAACCACCGATTTTTTTTTTATATGATAACACTTAAATTTTGAAAATATATGCTTTGCACCCTGAACTTTGGGGAAGCCACATTTACAATAGGGGCAATTTTGTATAGAAGTGTGATGCTCGCATTAAAAAATATTAACGATATTATCTTGAGAGCAAAGTGAATATATTTAAAATCAGTAGTGGTAAAGTGTGACTATTCCCGAAATTCGAAGAGGCAAAGCCCTATTAACCCCAAAATATATGCATGTTGGTGCACGCGGCTTGAAGTTCCATCTACAGCCTGTGACTTGTTTGATCCACCAGCCACTTATTATATTTCAAAATCCAGCTAAATCAGCCATGATATGAGCTGTAGGAGAGACAACAAAAATAGAACATTGTGGAAGCTAAAGAAATGGAGAAAAAGAACATCTCCGTGATTTTATTACTACTGTTTTTCAGTTCCCATTTCCTTCTAATTTCATCATATTCTGAGCTGATCCTCAATACTTTTACTGAATGCCTATCCCAAGATTTTGAATCATCTACCTCAATACTGAACATTCTATTTACACCAAGAAATTCTTCATATCAATCTCTTTTGGATTATCCCATTCAAAACCTGAGATACCTTAACTCATCCAGCACAAAACCTCTAGCTATAGTTACCCCTTTAAATTATTCCCACGTCCAGGCCACAATTACTTGTTGCGAGAAGCATGGACTACAAGTTCGAATCAGAAGTGGAGGCCATGACTATGAAGGTCTGTCCTACACTTCAACAGTTTCTTTTGTCATTCTTGATCTTCAAAATCTTAGATCAATCAGCGTTGACTTGGAAGAAAAGAGCGCATGGGTTGAATCAGGAGCTACTGTCGGCGAATTGTATTATTGGATTGCACAGAAAAGTCCAAGTTTCGGATTCCCAGCTGGAATTTGCCCAACAGTTGGTGTTGGTGGACACTTCAGTGGAGGTGGCTTTGGTACCATGATAAGAAAATATGGACTAGCGGCTGATAATATTCTTGATGCTGTCATTATCGACGTTAAAGGACGAATTCTTGATAGAAAATCCATGGGAGAAGACCTGTTCTGGGCTATCAGAGGAGGTGGAGGATCAAGTTTTGGTGTCATAGTCGCTTGGAAGATTAAGCTTTTGTATGTCCCGCAGATTGTTACTGTTTTTAGCACCGGAAGGACCCTAGCCCAAGGGGCCACTGACCTCGTTTACAAGTGGCAACATATAGGACATAAGCTTCCTCAAGATCTATTCATCAGGGTGATTATAGAAGCTAATGGAGAAGGGGAAAATCGAACAATTCGAACCACATTCAACTCATTATTTCTTGGTAGAATTGATAAACTAGTTGATATAATGAAGGAAAGTTTTCCTGAACTTGGCTTGAGAAAAGAAGACTGCATTGAGTTGAGTTGGATTGAATCAGCACTGTATTTCTGGGGATACAAAGAGGGAAAAACCATAGAAGCCCTTAGAGATAGAGTGCCTGAACCAAAGAGCTTTTTCAAGGCTACATCTGATTTTGTCAAGGAACCATTGTCTCATGCTGCGCTAGAACAGTTGTGGAAATGGTGCTTGGAAGAAGAGAAACCAATAGTGATTTTTGATCCTTTCGGAGGAAGAATGGATGAGATTCCAGAGTCAGAAATTCCATTTCCCCATAGAAAAGGTAATCTATTTAATATTCAGTATTTGGTGAAGTGGGATAACCAAGACACTGAAGCATCAGAAAGGCACATAAATTGGATCAGAAGGCTGTACAAAAATATGACCCCACATGCATCAAAAGGTCCAAGAAGTGCTTATTTTAATTACAGAGATCTTGACTTTGGTGTTGAAAATATTTCTGGGGCTAGCTTTGTAGAAGCCAAAAAATGGGGTGACAAGTATTTCAGTGGCAATTTCGGGAGATTGGCAATAGTTAAGGGTGAAGCCGACCCACAAAATTTCTTCAGTGACGAACAAAGCATCCCACCTCTTATTTGTCCAAGCCACAGTATATTGAGTCATCAAAATGGAGCATACACTCTTGATTCGTGTTCTCCGGGTAAGTTGCAACCTTGGTCCCTTGTGGCTTCTTTGTGAGGCACAGCAAGATTCAAGTGTAGCTGGTCTTATAGTTTATTTGTCGGTAGAAATTTAAAAAGGGGACAACTCTCTCTGTTTTTTTCTTGGAACAACTCTCTTATTCAAGTGTGCAAATTAATTTTATGATATTTCAATTTTACAGATATAGAATATTTTCCAATTTCCTCAAGTTAATGATTTTTTATTTTTACATATACTCAAGTTATTGATCGTTGTGAAGGAAAAAGAATTAGTAAAGTAAAGTTGTCATCAAATCTCAACGTGCATAAATGAGCATGGTTTTTAATTATCTTTTTGTTTTTTCAACTATTTTTTATCTCATCTGCAATATATTAGAGAAAGTGCTGCAGTAGAATTCTAAAAATATTTTTCAAACAATCTTCTATATATCTTGGCCAACATATTTTCATTTTAACTTGGGAGTTTGACTATCTTTTATCCCGGAATAATGTTGCAAGATGAGGTATATTTCTGAGTGGACAAGGCTTTGGAATGTTTAACTTGGCTTTTGTAACTGTTCCCTTTGAAACAACATGCCTTGTGTTTGCTCCATTGAATATGATTGCTTTATCTTTGTCCCTCAAGTATTTATATATTTGGTTGGGAACAATTATCATTATTTTGTTTGTCTATATATGAGTCTCGTATTAAGTTATTTTCTGAAACGAAAATTTAGAAGGTAACACTAACCTTGTTTTTTCATTTGTATCATTGTAATACGTACAAGGTAAAGAGTTGGCTCACAAATTTCTTGTGGGTAAAAATGAATTTATAAACTCTTTGGACTACGTTGTAGTATTTAGGCACGTCAATGGGTCGAATTTTATCCAAATCCAACCTGAACCCAATATATTTGAATAAGATTTGGGTTTAATTGTTAAATTTAGATTCTATCCAGACCAACATCTCATAAGAGAGTCATGAGTTTGGGTAGGATATGATTTTCTATGATCTAGACTTAAATCCAAATCCATACTAGTTCTCTGTTTGAGTTTGTAATATTGCATTCAATATCTTGAATTAATGTTAAATTTATTATTTGAAAATAAAAATTAGATAGTATTTATGTTATTTTTAAACTCTATATATTTTCAAAATATTTTTATTTTAATTTTTCATTGTATGTTTAGAAAAATATCCATGGATACTCAATTGATACCCAAACCCATGAAGGTATGGATCTAGATTCACCTTTTCAAACCCATAAAATTTTGGGTATGGGTCTGGCTAAATTTAATATATTTGAATCTACCAAGTTATTCAACCTAGATCCTGCCTATTGCCACGCATAGTATTTAGTCTAAACATTAATTAGTGTTTTCTTAGCGAACAAAGATTAATCTTAATAATTGGAAACCATGATCCACCAATTGATGTACACATCCTACCCTTCACTTGTTTGCCTAATAGTCATTCCAACATAGGAATAAATTTCCAGTTATGATGCAGACATTTTCCATATTTAATTTGTTGACTAGGATTAAGCACAACATCTTCCTCTAACATCCTCTCTTTGAAAATCCCAGAGCATGTAGAATTTAATGTCGTTTAATATATATATATCCTCATTAAATTTGTTCTGTTTCTATCTTTTTCTTGTCAGTTACATGTAAAGAAGAATATTTATGTCAAAAGAGATTCACAAATCTGACGTTAATTCTGTGGTAACATAACGAAATGTTCCCTCTAGTTTCTACAATATTTGCTGTATTTTGCTTCCTTTTTTTTTTTTTTTTTTACCGCTGAAGCCCAACAATGGATTCATGGACCAATTGATAACTTTCAAGAATGCCTTTCTACGGAATCTCGCCCATTCACACTGGTAAAACATATAACGCTTAAATTTTGGTCAGAATCATATGAAACCATCCTTCAAGAAAGAGTAAGAAACCTAAGATTTAACTCCACTCTAACACCAAAACCTTACTGCATAATCATCCCAGAAAATGCCCATCATGTTAGAGGAGCCATAATTTGTTGCAAAAAGTTTAAGTTTAGTCTTGAAATTAGAATCCGAAGCGGTGGTCATGATTATGAAGGAATCTCCTATACATCTCCTAGACCTTATGTCCTTCTAGACATGTCGAAAATACGAGAAATCGATGTAGATTTGAAAAATCAGACAGCTTGGGTGGGAACTGGTGCCATACTAGGTGAGTTGTACTATCACATTGCAAATAAAAGTGCAACACCTGCCTTTTCCAGCCGGTGTTTGCCCTAGTGTAGGCATTGGCGGGCATTTCAGTGGAGGGGGACAAGGTATGTTAACGAGGAAATATGGTCTAGCTTGATGCTGTAATTGTTGATGCTCAAGGAAGAATTATTGATCGAAATATGATGGGGGAGGATTTTTTTTGGGCTATTAGAGGAGGAGGAGCAGCGAGTTTCGGAGTTGTAGTCAAATGGAAGATCAAATTAGTGCCAGTACCTCCAATAGTCGCGACATTTGCAGTCACTAGGACACATGAAGAAGGAGCTAACAGGGTTTTTTTTATATGGCAACATTTGATTGATAAATTGCCTAAAGAGATTGTGTTAAGAATTTTGATAACACCAGCTAAGACAGCAACAGGAGAACCAAGCATGAAGGCAGCATTTCAGGGATTATATCTGGGAAGTATTCGGGGCTAATTTGAGACTTAAAATTTGTTGAAAGGTCAAAATTGATGATTGAAATAATTGTATGGCCTAATCGAATTTAGGAAAAACAATCAGAAAAGTCCAAGATATCAAAGAGCAAGAGTTCTTTTCAAATATTGCATGGGATATTTGATATTTTGTGGCCCCAAAATCATGCATTACCAACTCAAATATTTGTTATAGACTTATTGTCGTTAGGTTTATGTGTTCATCTGAGATTTTTTTGTGTTTCAGACTAGCTTCCGGAAAAAAGAGAGGAGTGGAGATTAGACGATAATCTATGTTCAAAAACTTAGTGTAGGCAGCTTCCAATGCTCCAGCCAAGACAAGAGTTCTTCACAGTTTCACAAAGACAGAGAACAGTGATATAGATAAATTTAATGGATACAAAGACTCTTCAGTTAAATTCCATCCATTTGATGTAATTCTTGCAAAAGATGCTGTAAAATCGTGCAATAAAAGTATAATCATGAAATTTCTCAATTAAGTTGAAGTAAAATTCATAATATACACTATAATTGTACAAGTTTAATTATGCCAATGTTGTCAGAGTATCCGTTTCCAGGTCTAGTGACCTTAGGCCCGCTTATCTATCTTGTGGAGTTCATGACGATCTTACATTATTGTTTAGTAATTTTATTAACTGCTTGTAATTCATATATCAATATAAAAAGAAAAAAAAAAAGATATCTCAATATTTGCAATTCTTTGTGATTAGAACCAATCACAGATTGACAAAATATTTACCATTGATAGACTCGATAAATGCCTTTAATCAAAGCGTACATCGAATAGTTGCGTAATTTCATCACTATCCACAATGCAGTTGAACAAAACTATCAAAATTTTTATGACTAAAACTAAACAATATATAATGAGCAAAAGCTCAAATGCATTATCGACGAAAGGGTTTTTCTAATCGGTGCCTGTAACCTGTCATATATATACACATGCTAATATATTATTATTCGCGTAGCATTTGTATACTTCCCTTGTATTTATTTACAGCCCCTAATTAATCTTACATTTCCAAAATATTAACAGTTGAAATATTTTAACGAGTGTCCGCCGTTAGACATTCCGTTGACAAAGTACTACAAAAATCATATCCAGTATTGTCACAATGTTTACCGTTAATTATGGTATATGGATTATGTGCATGCTCTGTACCAAGCTACCAGTGATATGCTAGTATGATGGAAGTTCATAACGTGGTTGTCACCCGTGAGTGTATGTAAAAGTTTAAGAGAACAATTATTTGATGCTATTAACTGATTAGACAAGAACTAATGGGATAATTTAGTCCAAGTGAATATCATTTTCAGTAGAAAATCAACCCCATGATCAGCATGCAGCAGCACCATTATCTTAGTAGTGCAATATAATCACTGTCACAATCAACTTTACTATCCCATCGTATAAGCACTATCCGCAAAGCAAAGATGCTAACAATCACATGACCAGAAATTTGTTAAGGCAAGAAATGAGACGTTTGCTTTCAGCAACAGCTTCCAAGATCTCTTGGAGGTCAAAAGTGGCCCAAACTCGGATTCTGAAACCCACAAAAAAGAAAGAAACTGACCAAATGTTCTTTCAAAGGTCATTAATTTTACCAGTCAGATCCCTGAAATTATTTAAACGTTGCTTGTGACATTTGCATTAGGTCATACATAGTCATCAAAGGACTCTAGTTTTCTACATATATTGGACCTCTGTCGCACCCCTAAGCACAAAAGTTGCCAAGACAATCAATATGGAACCTTCAAACCTTGTGCCATTTTCATCCTTCACGTCTTCTTCTACTTGTCAATAGCTTTGTTATCATTATCATCAATTGCTGTTTCACAAACTGTTCAAGAAAACTTTTTCCAATGCATTAATCAGAATTCTGAGCTCTACGTCCCTTTCTCTTCAGCATTTGTCTCACCTAACAATGATTCATTCAGCTCTGTTCTGCAATCCACTGCACAAAACCTTAGATGTTTGGAGCCATCAGTGGCCAAACCTCAACTCATTTTCACACCACTGATTGAATCACATGTCCAAGCAGCAGTTATATGCGCGAAAGAGGTAGGCATTCAGATCAGAATGAGAAGTGGAGGCCATGATTATGAAGGCCTCTCTTACATATCTGATTTGGATTCCCCTTTTATTATCGTTGATCTCGGAAAGCTACGAGCCATCAGTGTAGATATAGATGATAACAGCGCTTGGGTTCAGGCCGGTGCAACCATTGGTGAAGTCTATTACAGAATTTTCCAGAAAAGCAAGACTCATGGCTTTCCAGCTGGCCTTTGCACTAGCTTAGGGATTGGTGGACATATAACTGGAGGTGCATATGGAACCATGATGAGAAAATTCGGCCTTGGAGCTGATAACGTGCTCGACGCTAGAATTGTTGATGCGCAGGGACGAATTCTTGATAGACAATCCATGGGAGAAGACCTGTTTTGGGCAATCAGGGGAGGTGGAGGAGCTAGTTTTGGCATAATTCTTTCATGGAAGATAAAACTGGTTCCTGTTCCTTCAATCGTGACTGTTTTTACTGTTCCAAAGACCTTGGAACAAGGTGCTACAAAAATTCTGTATAAATGGCAACAAGTTGCTGATAAACTTGATGAAGATCTCTTCATCAGGGTCATCATACAAAATGCGGATGCTGCTCAGAAGGGTGAGAAAACCGTGCAGACTGCCTACAATGCTCAATTCCTCGGTACCGCATCCAGACTCCTCGAGGTGATGAATCAAAGCTTCCCTGAATTGGGATTGACGCAAAAAGACTGTACAGAGATGAGCTGGATTCAATCGGTTATGTACATTGCTGGATACCCCAGCAAAACACCCCTGAAGTTCTGCTTGAGGGGAAATCATTGTTCAAGAACTACTTCAAAGCCAAATCTGATTTTGTCAGAGAGCCTATTCCAGAAGACGGGCTTGAAGGGCTATGGAAAAGGCTTATGGAAGGAGATTCACCACTGATGATATGGAATCCATATGGAGGAATGATGAGCAAGATCTCAGAATCTGAAATTCCTTTCCCTCACAGAAAAGGAGTGATATTCAAGATTCAGTATGTGACACTTTGGCAAGATGCAGATAAGGACACTGCTGCGAAGCACATTGATTGGATCAGAAAACTGTACAATTACATGGCTACTTATGCTTCCACGTTCCAAGAGAAGCTTATGTGAACTATAGGGATCTTGATTTGGGAGTGAACAAAGATGGCAACACAAGCTTTATTCAGGCCAGTGTATGGGGTTCCAAGTACTTCAAGAACAATTTTAACAGACTAGTAAGGATCAAGAATAAGGTTGATCCTGGTAACATGTTCAGGCATGAACAGAGCATCCCACCTCTTGCCTTAACGGGCAAAAGAAGGGGAAAGAGAATGATCCATTAAATTTCAGTTGCTTGCAATGTTAAAGTCTAGGAATAAATATTAGAAGATGTGTAATTCTTTTTCAATTTTTATTAAGTGATATTAATATGGTTTTACTAGCTATTCTACTGAACTTTTGTTAAATATTTGCTTAGATGGCCGAGTGTACATCTTTGAGTTTGCTTTGTATGATACGCATTGAAACTTGAACATTATAAATCAACAAGCAACTAAAGCTATGATTTTACGATTAGATTGGATTTGAGCAACATCTTTTTTTCTGTAAGGGTTTGTGACATTCTGTTTGGTGGTGTACTTTATATTGGAATTTTAAACATAGGGTTATCCTAACGGGTATTGATTGGACACTTATTAACACGCATAATACCTATCAGATACATACACATATTAACAATTATTATCGTTTCTTACATTTTTATACTTTCTCTATTTTATTTTATCTACCCTCCTTATATTTATTTATTTTTTCTAATTTATCTTATATTTTAAAATATATAACACTTGAAATATCTTTCAACGAGTGCACAAGTTAAACAGACCCTTAAACATGTTAGTAATATTTCATGTGATTCGCACGTGATTCTTTTATCCTTAATACAAGAATTGTGTACAATTTTCATAATTTAGCAATGGTATCATATAGAATTACTAAATCATTTAGTCTGTTTAATATAGGTATTTTACATTCATTATGTTTATCCAGTTTAGTCTATTAAATCATCTAATCATATACTATGTCAATAGATTAGTTGATTTGAGATTATGATTTAGCCTCTTTTTCTTTTCATCCTTGTAGATGCCTTTGAATTGTTGGGTAGATAGATTTCCCTACTCTCTCCAAAACAAATTAAGCACAGGCAACAATAACCTTTTTTTATCCTAAAATCACCTTTTTCTAGTATTCATATGAATGTATATTGACGATCATGGAATTATAATCAGAAGTGTACCTCCACTTTTGACTGTAAAAGACTAGTAAATTTTTATCTCTTCTAAATGTTAAATTAAGAACAAATTGAATACAATCAATTTTTATACATAAGAAAATTTAAATGCTTAACAAATTAGAGTACTATTTGTTCTAACCTTTCTTCTTCTTTTCCTTCATCACATTAGGGTTCAATAGTCCGGCTGTGAATGGTGTCATTGTCTTGCAGTCATAGATGGACAATCACAAGCCTGCATGGTAACAGGTAGGCTATGTTGTTCCTGCCCAACATACCCTATATGTGAACAGGCCCATCAGTTGAGGCTCGTTTAAAATTTAGGTAATTCTCCGTGTCCACAATGTCGTAAGATGACCCAAGGTAGGAACCTTTAACAAAACCCAATAAACATTGCTAGTTTTATTTTCTTGTTTTAATCTTTTTTTTTTCTACCAAAATCGGCAAACTTAACATTTAAGTTAACCTCACAGGAGAACCCTCAAAAGACGCTAATTTTTGTAACCTCCTATGGAACTTAAATCCTAAACTCACACAACTCAGATGAACGATGTGGGACTTGAGACGGGGAAACAGGAAGGCTGCTGCTAAGCCCACTAATGGAACCCACCACACTCTGATTATTAATCCTCGCCACTGGTCAATTTTCTTTCTACCAAAATTGGCAAACTTAACACTTAAGCTAACCCATAGGAGAACCCCAAAAGGCACTTAACAATTTCTTGTTTTAATCAATCATCAACTCCTGAAAGTCACTTCTGAATGTCCATATATGATGATTTTGTCAATGAGAGCTACTACTCTAACTATAAGTGGGGATTTAACTAAGCCAACAGGAGGGGATTTAACTAAGCCAAGGGGCATTAGAGGAAGAGAATCCACCTTTAGATAAAAGAGTGTACTGTACACTATTTGAATTTTATTGCAAGTACATAATAGTTTTGAATACCTGACAAAGTAGTTAGATTTGCACCTTATGTTTCGTCTGGTGACTCGCTATCGTACATTTTCTACTTCTCTGAATGAAAGAAAAAAAAAAAAAAAGAGCTGATTGGTCAATTTCTTTTTTTAAAAAGATAGAAGTGCTAAGATTTTGTGAAAGAATTAAAAGTTTTCCATTTCAAATTGTTAGAGAAAAGGTCTTTTCGAGTTAAGCAGTCCTAAACTTATCGAGTATACATGTCCTTCTGCTTCACTTATCGAGTGTACATGTCCTATGGAGAAGTAAATTATTTTCCGGACAAGTTGGTTCAGATTGTAGGTTAATTGCATTATCGCTCCTAAAATTTTGCTAAATTACAACCTCCACGTAAACTGTGTTGGAAATGAGGGTTTTATAATGTATGTCTAAAAGTCTCAAATAGAAGTGGCAAAATGGATTCATATCCACTAATCCATCCATATAAACCAACCTTAATGGATTGGATGATCCATATAAATTCAATGGTTTTAAATGGATAACCATTTAATCCAATTATGTTAGTGGATTTAAATGGATTATCCATCTTATCCATATACATCCATTTAACTTAAAAATAGAAAACACATTTATAAAATGTGAGATAAAATGTTGTAGGACCATCTATTCTTTTCTTCATAACTTTCTCATATGTCAAATTAATTTTGTAGGACCACCTATTCTTTCTTTCATAACTTCCTCGCATTGCCAAGTTGCCAATAACATTAATTGCATTTTATTTGCTTCTAGTTCCTAGACTTCTTCCATCTTTCAAATTATATTTAGTCTCTACTCTTGTTTTTTTTAATTAAACTCTCATGTGTAATGATTGCAAACATTTATTTCTTAAGTAAAGAAAAAGCGAGAATGCATCATGCAGTGTCAAAATAATTTTTATTTTTTAATTCTTTTATTTATAAAAAAAAAATTTTCTAACGAGTGTCCCGCAACATTGGTTAAGATATGTAAATGACATTTTTTTTTCCCAATTCCTATACTTGCAATCCCTCTCCCCTTATCACCCAACTCAACTATCAAAAAACAAAAGACACCTAATTTACTAAGTAATATAAGGTAGCTGGTATATCAAGGTATAATAAGGAGTTTCATACATTTTTAGGTACTACGTGCACATGTGATGCAAATATTTTACTTGTCAAAATAACATAAGATTTCTTATTAGAACTCCACTTTTATTCAAGACATCACTCTTGAACAGGAGTGCAAAAAATTGGAAACGTAAACTTTTTTCACTGTAAAGCCGTATTCAATTCATTCAAAAGTTATAAAAATATAGCCAAGTTCTTAATTGTTCATTACTTTACAAAATGATACTTAAAGTAATGACGAAAGGTTAAATTGACCACAACAGTTAAATTTTCTTGGAATTAAACTAATTTTATGAAGAACTGAAATAGAGTAGTAGTACAAGCATTTGTTATTACAAAAGGTTTTAGGTGATTTAAGGATAGAACTTTGGGGATATGTATTTTTTGGAAAAAAACATTTTGATCTTAAATTTAGGATTTGGGAGAGTAAATGGATAAATGGATGGATCATGGTTTTACACTATCCATTTAAATGACATCCATTTAGATCCATTTATTAATGGTTTTAATTGGATTGGATCAATTTGATCCACAATCCATTTAACTAAAACCATTTATCAACCATATATCCATTTTGCCACTTCTAGTCTCAAAACACCCTTTTCCAATTGAGTTGACTGCATTTACAGCCCATGAATTTTATTTAAATTTCTTTTCCTCCAACATTTAATTTACAAAATAAATAGAAACCATTTCCTTTTACTTCCTTTTCCTCTTTTTTTCACTGATGTCATTTCTTTCTTCCTTTTCTTTAATCCAAACGATGCCTAAAAGCAATTTTCAAACAATGTAAATTTACATAAATGATAACCAAAAAAGATTATTGTTTTCATGCGCTCCAAAAGAAAACTAAGAACTTGGTGGTTGTGGAATGCAATAAAATAAAATTATCTACTCAAGAAAATAGAAATATTATACATAGTAGTGAGTAAGGTCGTATCCTAAATTTATTTCCTTCACAATTTTATGAATTGAAATGGGGGTTTTAGAGAAATTAAATAACACAGTAAAAATAAAGGGATTACTGGTGAAAAACAAAATAAAACTAAATCAATCTAAACAAGCTTCTAATCAAAGGAATAAATCTCAGCTTTTAGTTCAATCAATCAATCTTTGGTGCAAGAATAGATTTATATGTTCACAAATAAACTGGTTATGGTTGTCAAGAAACTCTGACTCCTTGCCTTTTCTTACTTTCTTGATAATTAAACAAAACCCTTTAATTACTTCTCTTGCTAATAGAGATCTCTAAAAAAGCTCTTAGGATTTAATATATCAATAGCATCAAGATTTAGAAAAGCTACTAATTTAATCAACAAACTCACAAGTTCGGTTTATTTAGATTAGATCATATATTTCCCGCACAGAAATCCAATTATACAATTGCCACAAATATTAAAACTTCACACAATTATGGATTTGACATTTTAATTGACAATAGATTACTTAGATAATTAAATATTGGCCAATTATCTAATCACGCAAAATAATCTTAGGCAATAAATTCAGGAAATATATGAATACTCATGAACATATAAATAATAAAAAACAAATTCAAATCTCACAATTTAGTGTTGAACCAAATCTTAACTATCTTCAAATAGACTGACACCTTAGTTGCTTCTCATGGAGAAAACCAGCCAAACAAAAAGTGAACAGAGTTTTTGTTCTTGAGAAAAGGAGAACGAAGAAGGAAAGTATTTAGTATGAGAGATATATCCATCCTCTTTCTTCCCCTCTATTTATTCTATCCTAAAATTATCTCTAAACTAATTTCTTAAAAAGAATTATCTCTAAACTAATTCCTAGAAGAAAAAATATCCCTAGTCAACTACGTATCTAATAAGAAGATATTAAGATGAGATAGTTGTGAAGGCGTATTATCAGAAAATAAGCACATGCCAAAACTCTCAAAACATCCTTTTACTTACTCATGATGTAATAACTAATGAATTTTCAAACGCCTGCACCTTTGATAAATGCTATTTAGGATAAATTTGAATTTATACCTATTTTCACTTGAACCATATCTTCATTTAGGGATACGCAATTTTTTCCACCCGAAATAGACAGGAAGAAGTGTCCTTTTATAGTATAA